TGCAATGCTCCTTTCTTTTCTACGTGTGACCATTGAACAATATTCTTCGTCTTAGGGATGAGTGCTTATTGCTTTAAATAATCTCTTCACTATGAGAACAGTGTGGTTATGGGGATGAGAGGGACAACTGAAAATGTCCCCTGGTCCACAACTCTCCTTTTGGCCAAGCTGACCTCAGTGCTGGAGCAGTTCATTTGCTCCAGTGGCCTTGTTTCAAATGAGAGGCAAAAGAAGCAACTAGATCATACCAACTCCAAACCCTGTCGTTTCTTAAAAAAAAAAAAAAAAAACTCGGCTAATTTTTGTATAAATGGCATCAAATGCAAATAAGCAGAGCTCACTGATAATGTCAAGTGAATACTGGCATTGTCTAAAGTGGTAACAGCAGATTTCCGGAATGCATTTAGAAAATGAGGGATTTTTTTTTTCTGGTACTAAGGATTGAACACTCAGATGCTCTGCCATTGAGCTACATCCCCAACCCCTTTTATTTTTTATTTTGATATGGAGTCTCACTGAAGTTGCCAGGATTGTCCTCAAACTTTTGACCCAACTGCCTTAGCCTCCCAAATTGCGGGATTACAGGGATGCTCCACTGTACCCAGAAAAAAAAATGAGAGATTAAATTTAAAAAGGTTAATTGTAACAGTGTTTAGGTGACTATAATCTATATATTTTAGAAGTAAATATATCCCTTTTTCCACAACTATCACTAAAATATCAAACCCTAAAAATCAGTTCCAAAAGTTCTATCACCTCCATCAATTTGTGCTCTGAACCGAGACAGCCAACAAGCGATCAAAGCAAATGTAAAAACTACAAGGTATTACAATAACAAATCCCTGTATTTCCATTGTAATTATTGACTGATTCAGTCAGTCATTCAATTTAACAAACAGTTATTGAGTGCCTGCCACATATACAATCTTATGGTACATAACAGATAGTAAATTTTGTCCTTCAAATTAAAAGATGAAACATAAAAGCAAAGACATTGAGAGTCTAAAGGGAGAAAATGGGAAACACAGTATCCCAAGGAATCAAATGATTTTAAATTACTTTATCTTAAGTGACAGTGTATCTCTCTCTCTCATCCATACTGTATTTCAAATCGCTAACTCTTATAAGACTTAAATAATTCTGAAAACCAATTTACTGAAATCCTGATCCCATTCTCTTAGCAAAGTTTTATCTCTTTCTAGGGTCTCTTCACATTTTTGGTAATTATCAGAACCTTCTCTGTTCTGGCATATACTGGGAACAACCTCTTGATTTATATTATCTCTGTTGAAGACATCTGACTTTCTTTCTATTTGTAAAAACAGACAATAATTAAAATATTATTAAATTAAGTTAAAATACTTCTTCTATACCCCACAATTTTTCAATATTTATTTTTTAGTTTTCGGTGAACACAACATCTTTATTTTATTTTTATGTGGTGCTGAAGATCGAACCCAGCACCCGGCGCATGCCAGGCGAGTGCGCTACCGCTTGAGCTACATCCCCAGCCCTACCCCACAATTTTTTAAAACAAAAATTTTGTCCACTTATATTATGAGATTTTCCTATCTTTGGCTACAACTATATGAGTCCTGGCCTTGGTATGTGATCTTGTGATGTAGGGATTCATTAGAAACTCCTGGACTCATTCAACTCTCTTTTTAAATGCCATTGTCACATAAGTGTTTTGCTTTTCTGTGTTTCCTGATATCTATTATTTGAAGATATTTCACAAAATGCCAAGAAAAGTGGTTGAGATACCAACTTTAAATACTTATCCCCAAATCTGACATTTCCATGTTCCCATGATACAAGAATAAGAAAATAAATAACAGTAACCTGAAATAGTAGAGCTCTCTCTAATTCTGTAGGTCATGCATCCATTTCTTTTAATTACATATTTTTTAACACATAATTTTTTTTTCGAGGGAGAAAGTACCAGGGATTGAATTCAGGGGCACTTGACCACTGAGCCACATCTCCAGCCCTATTTTGTATTTTATTTAGAGGCAGGGTCTCACTGAGTTGCTTAGTGCCTCACTTTTGCTGAGGCTGGCTTTGAACTTGGGATCCTCCTGCCTCAGCCTCCCAAGTCACTGGGATTATAGGTGTACATAACACATAAACTCTTTTTGTTAAGTTCAGTCAATTTTTTTCAGGGATTATGAGTCCCTAACAATTATGTACTTCTAAGCATATATCATGTGCAATTGGTTTCAAAGCATATCCATAATGTGACTTCATGTTTTAAGTATTAATTTCTACCCTTCTATTTAAATGAATTCTGTGCAAAGATAAAACTACAGAACATCACATGGCACAGTAAGTATATATATATTGCACTGCCCCATTGCTTAGATGGTCAAACAGTGAATCAGTAGCAGAAAGTGGGATTAGGGTCAAGGCCAACCAAATAATCCATTGTGCAATTTCCAGTGCATAAAGGTGGTAGAATTTAAGAGCATGTGTTCTACAATTTTCACTTGTGTCCCTATCTACTCAGAGCTAATACATCCTTGATATTTCCAAGAACAGCAAAAAACATTAATTCAAATCTTCAACTATATGCTAAACTGAAATCAACAGGCCCCAAAATACCAATAAAGATTTCCATGTAAAGCTATTAAATTAGGTTCTGAAATTAGAATTCAAGATTTTGCAAAGTGGCAGTGTTCACTATTCACTACATTAATCATTCAGGAAATCTGATTATAATCTACCAGAGTACATTAGTACTATATGAAGGAGGAGCAGAGGGAGTGAGAAGCCCAGCTGGAGAGCTGGAATACTGGGGGGGGGGGGCAGGCAGGAGACTGGCATAGATTTATTGGAGGCTGAGTAAGAAATGAGTTGGAGCAAGCAGCTGACATCTAGACTAAAATTAGAGGAGCAAGCTTCATTACAGACAGGGGGACTCGGCCAAACACCAAAGGAAGAAGAGCAGTCCGCCAGCCATACAAGAACATCAAGCAGAAAAATGCAATGACCCAGACAAGTCTATGTAAGACCTATTGATCCAGAAACCAAGACTCCAATTAAGTGCCAAGAGTGCTTGGGATCACTCAGTTCTCGTCTGGAATTGAAAAATCAAGATATGTTTCCTAGGGATATCTCCTTGATCTGAGTCCTAACCCTTCATACAAAGTAGGAATTTTTAAAAACTACCTTATAAAGTTATGAACAGAATTATTTCATCAGAAAATGGTTTGTGAAAAGCAAATTGACACACAAATGTTATTAAGTTGTGGCGGTGTTATGATCATGGCTTTTGATATTTCTAGTGTTAACTGAGTGAAAAAACACTTGAATAAGGACTGACAAACTTTCATCCGGGTCAGTTTGTTGCCCCATGATCCCTCGCCAATGAGGCTGAAGCGTCTACTGCTGGATGGCAGAACCAACTTGAAAACAAAAAGTCATTGCTCAGTCCTGACTTTCAAAACAGACGATTTTAAATAATAAAACGCATAGCACACAGGACAGTAAATGTTTTAACTATAAGAATCATGAGTCTCTGCTTCTTGATCACCATAATGTGAGCTGCTTCCCTCTGCCACACTCTTCCACCATAATGTTCAGTCTCCAGCCCTGAGAAATGGAGCCAGCCTTCTATGGACTAAGACCTCTGAAACTGTGAGCCCTCAAATAAAATTTTCCTCCTTACAAAAAAAAAAATCATGAACTTAAGAGGGAGGAGGAGAGTTTTCTGAATTCCAGAAGCTTCCATTTATATTAAAAACCAGAGCCTAATTCAAGACATAGAGCTTTGTTTGTTTGTTTTCTATCAGAAGTATAAGAGAAAAGATAGAGGACACAAAAGGAAAGATCCTCAGAACTACTCCTAGGCTGGATTAAAGAGCTGCAAGAATTAGGTGTGCCAGGGCTTCAGCCACTTCCTCCACATCCCCACACACCTGAGGTTTCACTCCTGGAATAGGAGAAAGGGAACTAGAAATGCCTCTTCCCCTCCCCTGTGCTTTGAGGCCCCAGGAGCTGTAGGGACATTTTTCCTGCTTGTACCTGGAATCTCAGGAGGATGCAATATTTTAGAGTAGACCCCACCACCACGGGGTAGCTGCAGCAAAGAAGAAGCAAGAAGGTACAGGCAGAGAAAGGGTCCCCGAGAGCAACGTGGAGTGTGCAGGGAAAGCAGCCATTCCCAACTGCCCCGCTGGAGCCTGGAGACTCATTGAGCGAGTCAGTGGACCCAGAGAAACCCAACGTGGGATCAAGGAGAAAGACAGACCACCAGTGGCCGTGGCAGATCATGAGCATGGGCCTTCATCCCTTCTCCTCTTCTCACTGAGTGGCAGCTGCTGGTGTGCCTGGAACCACCCGTGCAGGTGGGAAAGGAGGTCTCCCGCCTCTGCCTCGGGAGATGTCTTCCTAATGGACTGGCAGGCAAAAACCAACAAGGAAAATAGGCTGTGTTCTCTAGCAGACTCAGTGCCATTTGTCTTTGACATTTAGCAAACCCCATATCAAAGGAATCTAGGCATTGTACCAAGCTCCAAACCCAAATATAATATATGTACATGTATATATACACACATATGTACATGTATATACGCATACAAGTACATATAGCATACATACATACATTATACATATATTTTATCTATATAACATATGTACATACATTATATTTGGGTTTGGAGCTCAATATAATACATAAATATATCTTTCTGTGGCTCCTTCCTGACTCCCCACCTGTGATCCCTTTCCTCCTCTAGGCCCTTCCCCCATGATGTGCTGCTGCATGGTGGACCCAGAGCAGGGGAGCCAGTTATCTATGACCTCTGAAGGCGTCAGCCCCAAATAAACTTTTCCTTCTCTAAAGTGTTCTTGACGTATACTCTGGTCACAGTGACAAAAAAAAAAAAAAAAAACTAAAACAAGGGGAGGGGTCCTTTGTTTTTCTATCCCCTTTTTTTCCCTCCACACTTGGGGTTCTAATTTGTTCCTCTATTGCCACAGTAGCCAACAGTCACAGAACACAGACTTCTGACAGTTGGCCCTTCTTAGGTACTGGATTTGGTATCCAAAGGACTTCAGTCATCCTGTTTATGCCTCAGGAGTTGGCAGCATCTCTTTCACAAGGGCCAGGTGTAACAAAGCCTGCAATGTGAGTGTGTGTGTGTGTGTGTGTGTGTGTGTGTGTGTGTGTGTAAGAGTGAGAGAGAGAGAGAGAGAGAAAGATTGAGAGAAAGAGAAAGAGATTGTGTATTCTCTTCCCTATTGACTGCTGGAGCATCATGTGAAATGCTGGACTAAGGATACCATCAGATGATGGGGGGATGGGTATTTAAATATCTGTATTCATTCTATAAAGTAATTAAGTATCAAGTATCATAACTTTAATATATTTGTAATCTTTGATCCAATAATCCAACCTATAAGACTACGTAAAGACAGGCAGAAATTTTCAGATAAGGGGGTTTACTAACATTAATAAGACGATTATTAGTGGTCTTAATCATCTAAGGGTCATTGATCACCTAACTTAATGGTCATTAATAGGTGATCACCAAAAAGAGTTAATGAAAAAGTGGTTAAGAATTAGAGATGTGGGGTGCGGTGACGCACATCTGTAATTCCAGCGGCTTGGGAGGCTGAGGCAGGAAGATCAGGAGTTCAAAGTCAGCTTCAGCAACGTAGCGAGGCCCTAAGCAACTCAGTGAGACCCTGTCTCTAAATAAAATACAAAAATACAAAAGGATCCAGGCATGGTGGTGCATGCCTGTAATCCCAACAGCTAAGGCAGGAGGATCACAAGTTCAAAGCTATCCTCAGCAATGGCATGGCACTACCAAGAAACTCAGTGAGACCCTGTCTCTAAATAAAATACAAAATAGTGCTGGGGATGTGGCTCAGTGGTCGAGAGCCCCTGAGTTCAATCCCTGGTACGGCCCCCCCCCAAAAAAAAGAGTTAGAGAGTAGCCATATACATGTTCCTGTAAGCTGTGCCATAAAATTTAATAATCTCACTTTCTTTGATGTGACACCTACATTTTTAAGGATGTGTACATACATGTACAATCCATAGATTGATAGATGGATAGATGGATGGATAGATAGAAGATATAAAGTCAGAGAAGATTATAAAGAAATTTATCAAACTCTTTTGCTGGTGGTTATCATTCCCTCTGGAGATGCTCAGTGCAGAGGGTTATTACACAATAGAAAAAGTTTTTAAAGAGAAAGAACGGCCTCTTGTGTCCTTGTCTAGGGAGTACAAATACAGGATGCACTTCTGCCTCAGTGAGATAGTTGTGAATGGAAAAAAAATGGGTATTATTTGCTGAAGTACATGATTCTCTTCCCAATATCAGCTATTAATATTTTTCTTTTGAAGTTTCCAGTGTTGAAGGACACTGGGCATTTGAGCCTTTGAACTCCATGGAAGACTCATCTTCCAGAAGCAACTGCCCTGACATGGAGCACAGCATTTCGAAATCCAAATCCAACCAGAGTGTCTCAGTGAGCTATTTTCCCCATGAGGACAGCATTGAGTGTGAGGATATCATACCCTGTGAAGAGCTGACTGCTGAGGGTTTTTCCTGCCACTTCCTCCCTCCTGTCCAAGAGGGATGGGGAACCAAAAGTGTAAAGCGACCCATGGGGAGGCGAAATCAAATTCAGCACAATCCAGAGGAACTTGGCGAAGAAGCCATCATTGAGGTCTTGGATGCTTATCTGGGCTGCCACCATGAAGACTCAGGAGCTAATGCTCTGAGTGAAGACAATCAGAGGATGGACCAGTGCCCACAGAGGAGGACCAACCAGACCCTTTGGGACCTAGATGATCTAATGAAAAATCTTCAGGCCTTTCTAGACAATGAGAAAGATGACAAGGACGATGACACTGTGGTCTCTGATTCTCAGGAGGAAGATCTCCAGCTGTCCAACAGGATCTCTCCCCATATGGATCAGGTCAGTAATCAAGAACATGAAGCTTGTCAGGACTTGCCCCCGTGTTGCCCACCAGAAGACAGAAACATCCACCAGTTCCTAGAAATGCCTCTTGGGCTTGAGGATGATGAAATTGTTGAGGTGAGCACAGAGCTGCCTCACTGCAGAGCAAGGCATGGGCCCAGTGGGGGGTGCCAGGTTGGACAGCATGGAGTCCCCGCACCTGCTGTGAAGCAGAAGTGGACCCCAGTGTCTGCACAGATTTGCAATAGGAGAAGGATGACAGTAAAGAAAGGAGCCAAGCCAGGGACGAGGTGTGGGGAAAATGCCAAGGAGCAGTGACAGAGGCAAGAGAGGGGAGGAGCAGAGAAGGAGTAATGATTATACAAACGTGTGTGTGTTTAATGATTAATGAGTAATGAAACTTTGCATTTACAGTTGGCTAGTTTGGGTAAAAAATTAAATTAGATATCCACGAATGACTAAGTATTGACTCCATTGCTGCTGACACCGTATGTCTCTAACTCATCCTCTTCGCCTTGACATATGCAAAGCCAGGAGACTAGCACTACAGTCTGAGCAGTCAAAGGAAGGGAACAAGGGGGACGTGCCCTCAGATAAGGAAACCACGTTCTGTCGGAATTTCCGGTTCACCTTCCAGTGGTTCAGAAAGCAACTGGGCTCCTCCCTGTCAGAGAGGAAGCACCCTGAGAGGGCCAACAAGGGGCTCATTCTGCTGGCACTAAAGAGAAGACATTTTGGGGGAGGCAACAGAATCCTACCTCAAGAATCCCCCTAGTTAGAAAACCCTATATATCCAGAATTTTCATCGTTTTGATAACCCCTATTGTACAGTTACCATGGTTTTATGTTTTCTCAATAAACAAATATATATGTATGTATATATTTTAAATTATATTTAATTTAAATTAATTATATATGTATACATATACAATCTCACACACACACACACACACATATATATATATATATATATATATATATATATATATATAAAATTAGTGACAATGAGGACTGTGGATTGGGCTGGGGATATAGCTCAGTTGATAGAGTGCTTGTCTTGCATGCCCAAGGCCCTGGGTTCAATCCCCACCCCTAAAAAAAGAAATGTGTAATACTGAAAAAATTATCACCAGTTTCTGAGAATTATCTTAATCTCCTACAAAATATGTAGAATCTAGAAAATGGACACAGATAAAGTGTGTGAACTATGTCCCTTTCTGCCCTTTGGGCCACATAAGTGCTGCTTCAACGATACCCCAAGTCCCTGAAAAATCAATAAGAAAGTAGCAAATAATAGTTTTGCAGGAGGTTTTGGATTCCTCTTGAAACGTGTGCATGTGCGTGTGCACGTACACACACACACACACACACACACACCCCACAGGCTATTTAAAAACATTTGCACAACCTGCCCAAATTGCCTATCATCCCAAAATAGAAAAATAAAGTAATTCCTAAAGAGATTCACCCTTTGAAACTTCTGAACTTTTGAATATTGAAAAATAAAACCCTGAGTGGCAGGAGTGGGGAATGAAGGCAGCCAAGCTCATTACCAGCCTTCCTTTTGCCTTTTTTACAGGTACAATGAAACTTAAAGGTCTCAGGGAGAGAACAAAAACTAGGAAAATTGAAAGTTACAACCTCAAGCAGTTTCTGTCAAACTACTTTCTTACCAATTTGCTACGTGCACCCACCCAACCCTTCAATGAAGGGAAAAATCCATTCTTTTGCCAGATACAGGGAAATAGTGGCAAAGCAAAAAACTCTCCCTCCAAGAATAAATACTGTAAACTGCCTGACTTGGTGAAAGTAAAAGCAATCAGTAGATAAGCTGAAATTGTACCTCTTTTTTTATTTTTAAGCACAAAAATGTACCTCAAACAAACATGTTCATGGTGTGTATTCTTAACTAAAATGACATTAATCCATTGCTCTTCTGAAACCAGCTATGGGGAGGACATTTGACTCAGATCCTATAACTTTGATTGCAATTTATCACCAATTAGACTTTACAATGTGCTTCTCCACAAAGGTTTCTAGATTTTTTTAAAAATGAGCTAAAGGACTGGAGTTGTGGTGGTGAGGCCCCGGGTTTGATCCTCAGCAGCAGATGGGAACAGATAAATAAAATAAAGATATTTTTTAAAAAAGAGCTAGAATTTGTTCAACATATTGCAATGTAATATAAAAAAAAGACATGAGTTCCATTGTATAAGTAACACTTGGTTTGCTTCAAAAAGTATCTTAATTTGAGGATGAACTTTCTTATCTCTAACAATGCTTCTCCCCAACATTCCTGAACTTTCGTGGCTACTACAATTTTAATTTAAATTAATGTCATCTTATTTAACCTATATATTATATAAGGTAAAAACAATTTCCAGGAAATCTGCAATTGTGTAAGATCATGTGATCGTTCAACACATTACAAAAAATTCAAATGTGACTTTTTTATATGATTTTCAGACTTTGCAATGAAGTAATATTTGAATTGATATAGGCTATCTGACTTTTCTAGATTGTAGTTTGATTTTTCTTTTCCTTTTTTTCTATCAAATCCCAGCAGCTTGCCTTCTGGTTTATAAGCAGGTCTGAACAATCTAAGAAGGGAATTGCATGTCTCAAAATACCAAGCAAGGAATAATTCTCCATTCAACTCTCTTTTCAGTAATAGTAGCACAAAGCCTACAGAAAAAAAAAGATGTTTTCAAAATAAATAATTTCTATTACATTTTTTTCCAGATTGTAGAAGTGTCATTTAGACTAAGGATAACTGGAAGAATCATTTCCAAAAGGAAGACATTAAAACAACCCTAAATTCACTACCTAAAAACTGGAGTAAATGTACGTTTTAATGTCACTATTTTTAATTTTGAAGCCCTGATTATTGCAGATTGAGATGCATCTGGGTTGCACCTAGACCACGTTCTTAATTTGTAAAATGATGCTAGACAGATACTAAGCTTCCACAAACAGAATCTAATAATGATAGAGGCTTAGGATTCACTATACGGTAGGCAGAGTAATGCTACCCCTGCCCCCCCTTCACCACACACACACACACACACACACACACACAAAGATGCACATGGCCTCATCATCAGTACCTATGAATATGTTACCTTACATGGCAAAAGGGACTTAACAGATATCATTAAAAACTTCAAGATGGGAAGATCATCCTGGATCAACCTGATGATCTCAATCTAATCACGTGAGTCCTTAAAAACAGAAGAGGAAGATCAGAAAGTTGAGACATAAGAACTTTTCCCTCCCTCCATTACTGGCTTTGAAGATGGAAGAAAGGATAGACAAGCCAAGGGACAGTGATCTCTAGAAACTGGAAAAGCAGGTAATGAACTCTTCTAGAGCTTCTCAGAAGGAACATGGTCTCACTGAGACAGCACCCTGATTTTAGCCCAGTGGACCAAGATCATGCTGGACTTCTGATCTACAGAAATTTCAGGGGGGGAAAAATGTACACAGAGTCACAAATTTGTTATAATTTGTTACTAGAAACAATAACAAACTAACACACAGACCCTAGTCTGACATTTTACATATGGGAAACTCAGGTCCACAGAGTATGAAGATAAAGCTACAAAGAGAGTACTTCTCAAGATTCCAATCCAGTGATTGTCCCACTGTGCCAGTCTGCCTTGATTGCTTTTGTGTTTGTCTTCATGTAATTTTCTCATACGGGTGGAATGAATAGCATTCAGAAAAAGAGAGGGATTCTGTTTAACTAGGACTTAACTTGAGTCATAATGTTTGGATAGAGATTCAGAGCTAGATAAGAGGAGGAGTAAGGAAAAGAAAGGAGATATGTATTCAGATGAAAAACAAAAAGCTGCTCTCCTATGTAAAATCAGCCTACCTTTTTATTGTTATTTAAATGCCTGTCTTTGATCCTTTACTGTCTAACTAGTTTGGAGTTTGCAGAAATTAAAACAGCTTGGGTATGGGTTGCATGTCCTGCTGTCTCTGGAGGATTTGTAAGGATCTGTTATCCTAGGGATTATGCACATTTTCTGTTGGCTTAGGTGTCAACCATCTGCAGTATAACTCGAGCTGTGATATGCCTGCCGAGATCATGATTACAATCACAGCTCCACGGCAACAGCAATGCCAGAGTCAGCAGCGTGAAGGACATCAGAGCTCAAGCTTGCTTCAAAAATCTCTCCACGTTCACTCCGGCTTCCCTTTCTGGTGTGTAACAGAAGACCAGCATCAACGCCACAAAGAGACTTCTCCCACAGGTCTCACAACGAGGGTCCGTCCTATGGGCAAAAAAGACAACTGGTAGGAAGAGGAGATGCCTCTGCCTTTTTGTCCTAAAAGTCCACAAGAATCCCATTCCATTTCTATAAACAGCCCACATCCTGACCTTTCGGGATGTCCTTGTTGGTCACGTTAGCTGGGTTTCATCAGGAAAAAATAAACTGGGATGACAATAAAGCACAAGCATATAACATGATCTGCGCTCTTCTCAAAAAAAGCCAAAATGGACCACAACTTCAATCTGATCTGTGCACATGCAATGTCTATAATCAAAAGTGTATCTGCAGTCATGCCTCGTCCAAGGAAAACAGCTGAAAGGTAGAGCAGCTCCCTCCACCCTCCATTTATAAATGGAGAACCTGGAGGATATCTGGAACTGCCCATTCCTTTGGCCAAGGAGGGAGAAGCACACTGTGCTCAGCACAACCTCCAGGGTGTGATAGGGAGAGATGAGCCTAATATAACAAAACAACCAAGCCATCCTGCAAAGCTCTTCAGAAATTCCATCTCCAGCAGCATGACTTCCCAGACCAGGTCGGCTCAGCGACTGCCTCCTTCCTCTGAGTTTAAGCCCTAACATCCGCAAGCATTTCTCTATATGCATCTGTCAGTGACAGAAACACAATCCAAAATAGCTAAAGCAAGGAAGATAATTATTGGCCAACAAAACTAAAACATCCAAGACCATAAGACTAATTTCATGTACAGCTGGTGCTCAAGCAAGGCCATCAGAAAGCTGTTTCTCTGGATCTTGGGTCAATTTCCCCACATAGCCTGAGAGGACTTTGTTTCTCCAAGGAAGATCAAAGTGCTAGTAATGGGGAAAGAAATGAATGACAGCCCAGCAAAAACAACCAAAGTCCAGCTGGGCCCTAACCCAGGACCACAATGATGGTAGTAGCTCTGGAACAGGAGGAGAGTGTTTCCCCTTCTGTTTACAAATTTCTGCAATGTTATTATCTTGCCTTTATTTTTTAAATAGGAGTGGAATAAAGGAAAGGCAGAGCAAAGCTAAGTGTTAAATAAACGTAGATATGATAATGTAAAGGTCAAGGGTTTCCTTTGGAATATGAGGATCTCCCAGTTGTAATAGATGCTATCCTTTTTAATGCCTCTCCATGTGTATAATCTCATTTTATCAGTTTTAAAAGTCACTCCTTCCAAAGATGACTAAATAAGACAAATGACATCATGAACTGCCTTTCCAAATGATTTCTGCTCCACTAAAATGGTTTACTCTGAAACCAAACGCATAACTCCAAAACAATTCAAGGCAAAGGTGTGTGATGCTTTTTAAAAAGCAAAGGAAAAACTATTTCAACTGGTTCTAAATTCTATGATAAGAGATCTAGTAAAGTGTCTTAGCCTAGCGGATCAAGACCCTCCCTGCTACAGCCCCAATCTGGCTCTCGAGCTCCACCTCCTAGTAAATCTAACCACATGTCCCTCCACATCAACACTGGTCCATTTCTTTTCCAGCACCAACCAACCTTTCTCATGACTACTGTCATCTTCCAGCCATTTCACTGACTGGAAAGGTCTTTAGTCT